GGTGCATGTGAATTTCATTTTAAAATAGTCAGTCTCGTTCAGTGCAAATGAAGGAGTGTAGTCGAAAACACCGTTCGAAATTTCAACAAGTTTTCCCTTTTTAAGTCCATCAAGCAACTCAAATTTGAGGTTTTTAGCCGTTTTATCATATGCAGTAAATTTCACAAAGTCAAGTCGAGTCTGTGTGTTATGTGGGATAGTATACGGTCTTCCAAATTTATTACCATTTTGTGTGTGTGCGTACACATTATAAAATGGATAGAAGGTTTTGTATTTGAATGTTTTCATATAAGTCACAATATTGGCATCAATAGCCTTTCCAAACAATTTACAGTAGTATTGAGTGTCTCTCTCAAGTGCTCTTGCAAGTAACAAACAGTAAATTCCAGTATCTGTTCGTGCTTTCCCAAATTTGGTTCCATACAATTCATCATAAAACATGTGATAATAGTTGTTAATCATTCTCCCTATACCAATCGTACCAAACTCAAATAGTGGAGCCAAGTAACATCTTAAATTGTCTTTGTTATTGCCATTAAAGACTGGATTCATCATATAATATCCATCAACAACGTAATCAGTGCCAGTTAACCCCTTATGTCTTCTTGATGCTATATTAGAATAATCATTGTGGAACATAGAGAGCATCACATTGGTATTCGTCTCGTCAACACCAAAACCCCATAATCCTCCTCGTAACGTCGCACCTTCCATATGATGATTCAATTCATGCAAAGTGCCCCAATTTGTCGACCCAATCATATTCACCTTATTCATTACACCTGCAGCCCATGAAGGTGGTAATTGGGAGAACCAAGAACCTACATAAGAGTCAGCCGCACCGACATCAATCCGTTCGTCGAATATTAAAGTGATTGGCATTGTTGTGTAAGTCTCTCCCAGATAACTTGAGCTAGAAATGGACTTGTGCCACCAATTTTGGACAAATTCTGCGTCTTCTACATTTCTTATATTTCTGCTCGTTGAGACAACTCTGACACCTGGAGTCCTAATTTCAGAAACAGTACCTGGTGCATTCTTTAATGTTTTCCACTGTTCATTTGTAGTCACTCCATAATTAATAATGGGTGCTTGACCAACATTATCAAACTCTAAGTAGAATGGATCCCAATCCAATATATCCTCAGAAGTCCACACGAAAATTCCTCCGCCAAATGGCGAGCCAAGTTTATATTGCCTGTTTGCATCTAAGTCGATTTGATTCAAGTAGAACACATAGGAGTCTTTTGGCATACGCTGATTGTTGAACGAAGAAGCATCTAAGTACTGGAAAGCAACTTCTGAGTTGCACTTCCCAATACATATCTTAACAGGACCATTTTGGATATTAGTACCAGCAGGAACTGTTATAGTGAAAACTTCTCCAGGAAAATTGTAAGCGACTAAACGCATTCCATACAACACAGGATTGACCCCATATCGAACTTTAAGACGAGGAGCAGACCAATTTACAGATTCGGCTTCAAATTGCATTTCACCACCTAAAGCTGGATCCATCCGACCAAAAGTCCCTGCTTTTATTGAAGAAATGACGTTTTGCCAAATTTGAGTGTTTTCAGTGACAATGTTCTGTTTTTCTTCTTGTGTGAAGGTGTCTGTGCTTTTGTAGTGTGGATATTTTTTGTATTTAAAAGCCATAATTTGTGGCTTGTTTCCACTGAACGCCTTTTGACTCAAAATTTCAGATGTATCCATTTCATTTGACATGTATTTGTTATTCAAAACATATCCTTTCAAGGTCGGACTTTCATCCCCGCCATTGTTGTTGTCATTGTTGTCATTATTATTGTCATTGGGTTGGTTGTTATTGTTATCCGCACCACCATTTGTTGTATTACTTCCTGAAGAACTATCTTTACTTAAAACAACACCAAGAGTTATTGCAACAACTGAAACAACAACAATCGTTGTCATTATTATTGATGCAATAATCAATCCTATGAAAAGTTTTTTCATTTGGTTTTAGCAGTTTGATTGATTCCATTTTCTATGTTGTTTGTGTTGATTCATACAAAAATAAGCACTTGAACATTTTAAGAAAGTACAACCCACAAATGTGAAATAATTATCCAAACAACATTTTTATTATTATTATTATTTAAACAAACGGTTATATTTTTGTTCGGCTAATGAAAACAAAGAAAGGTGTTATTTACCGGAAAAACATTTGTCATTTACGATATTTATTGATAAAAATAGAGAATTAAATATCCGATATAATAATAATGTTGTTTGTTTTTATTGCAAAATATGTGAACTAAAAATGGTATTTGAATTGATTGGTGTTCCATTATTATAGCAAAATAATATGGTAAAATATTATATTTTTGTAATAAACTATTTTAGTTAAATAAACCCCCATTTATTTTTTTCAAAACCATTACAAATTCTATACTTTGATTTTAATTTATTATTATATAGAATTTGTTATTTAAATACATAGATTATCAATTAATCGAATGGTTCTGGAAACGGCTTTGTGTATATTGGCTTTTAATAATAACAACCAACTTATCACTGAAAATTGAACAATTAAACGTTTAATAATAAAATTTAATCCAAAGAAAAATTTAATTTGTAAATTTTTTTTGTTATCAATATTCAAATAAAACAAAGCAATATACTAAATTTTGAGTCGCTATAATAACAATGATAATAGTTACAAATACCTGAAAATTTGTCTGGCACAGAAAAACTATAAATTTATAGTATATTATAGTTTTTTGTTTTTTGTCCTGTTTTTTCAAAATTTGCATTAAAAAACATTAAATAGTTTCTAGAAACCATTTTTATAGTTTGCAGGTCGTTTTTTTCTGTACCAGAAAATTTTTTGGGCATAATTAATAAATTCTTACCAACTTTTTTGATTAGAATGAAAAAACTTTGACTTGTTTTTGATCTTTAAAATGAAATAAAAACTGTTTCTTTAACGCCTAAAATAACGCCCTTGTTTTTGTTTTGGCCTGTTTTTACAGGGATATTAATCCATTTTTTAATGATTTTTTTTGCTTGTGTATTGTTATACTTTTAATAAAATTCTAAAAAAACGGAAATTTATTTAATAAACTCGAGATTTCCCGATTTTTAGACCACTTAAATTTTGTTCAATGTTATTTAAAGTGTTAAAAAACATAACAGAATGACTTATATATTTTATTACAAATTATTCATAAATTGAAGTTATTTAATGTAGTGAATATTAAACCTTAAATAACTGAACTAGTTTTTTGGTTTTAAATATGACTCAACTTGACAGGTATCATATTGTGGTTGTTTCAAAATATTTTCTTTCAATTAAGGATTTCACAAATTTTGTACGTGTAAGCAGGAAGTTCAAAGACGTTTTATTACAGTTTCATATTAACCCAATTCCTATCAACAAAAAAACAATCAAATATTTTCCAAAGATTGAAACATTGAATTTGTGGTGTAAAGAAGACGAACATTTTGGGAATGTTATTTCAAATTCAACTCAATTCAAACATGAAGAAAAGAAAAACTCACTTCTGATGGACTTTATAAACATTTTTAATTCATTTATAATAAACACTAAAACAGACTTTAAAATGAACTTTTTTCGAGTTAATATTTGGTATGAAGTTTCATACGAACTAGTTCAAAACAATTTGAACACACAATTTATATTTAAAAACATTACATACACCGAACATGATCAACAGGTATATGGTTATTCGATACCTTTATCAGTCTCTATCATCGACAACAACTGTTTTCAGAGTTGTAACAAAATGATTTCAATTATAATTCCAAATTCTGTCACTTCACTCAAAGACGAATGCTTTAGTGGATGTGTTTCACTTACTTCTATTTCTCTTTCAAATAACATTAATACAATTGGGAAGTATTCTTTCGTGAATTGCACTTCTTTAAAGGCAGTAACACTTCCTGTTCGAATCAAAACAATTGAAGAAGGGATGTTTGAGAATTGTAGTTGTCTCATTTCTTTTAACATCCCAAGTGATGTTTCGATATTAGAAAAGTGGTGTTTTCGATGTTGTCGTTCTCTTCGAAGTATTGATATACCAATTAATGTGAAAGTGTTATCGGACTTTTGTTTTGAAAATTGTATTTCTCTTTTTAGTGTAAAAATGTTTGGTGTTACTCAAATAGGAAATTATTGTTTTCAAAATTGTGTGAATTTGAGTAAAATTGATTTAAAAAATTCGTTAAAAGTTATCGGTGATTTCTGTTTTAGGGGATGTGAAAAGTTGCTGTCATTAGACATTCCAAAAGGCGTACAAACTGGTGAAGAGTGGTTTGACAAGACCCCATTACATGTTATTTTTAAATCAAAAGGATGTGATACAGTTTAATAACATGATTAAAAACATAATAAATATACCATGAATATATATTTAAAGTTTTGTTATAAATTTCATCTATTAAATCACATTATGTTTATAATTTGTTATTAACTTTGTTTTTTATTGGTTATATTGTAAAGAAGTATTAAGAGTCTTTCATTTCAAATAAAGTGATACTTGTGAAGGAACACAAGTAACAATTTATAATGGAGATAATTAAATATTTTTCATTTAGAAACAGAAGTGAAAACAAACAATGAATTATATTTCGAATTAAAAAAAAGTGATTAAAATTGTTTTAAAAAAGCCTTTTTATCATTTTCAAAGTACATATTTTGTGTAAAGAATACTCAAAAATAATTTTACTTGTTATTTGGCCACAAAAAAAGTGTTCTAGACACATGTAAATCAGTTGGTAATAATTTGACTTTCAAAAACATGTCAACGACTTCCAAACTGATATTAAAACAATAATTGAATAACTAAAATCACCAAGAATGTCTCAACAAGACTCACAACATTATTGCAAAATACAAGAACACATCAACTCTCCAAAGCACTATGGTGTTTTTACAGAAGAACAAGCTTTGACCCAAAAACTCCAATTGGTTATAGGTGATTATCATTCAATATTAAGTGGTGATGCAATGCGCTTATATTTATTAGTTGATGCAACTGGACTTGTCCAAGATGCAAAATACGAGTTTTTTGGAAATCCGATAATGAGTGGGTTAGCAGACGTCATGACTGGTCTTTGCATCCACAAAACGATCGACCGTCTTTTAAAAATAAAGAATGACGATATAGAGAAAGAAGTGACATCGGAACCAAAAACACCGAAAGATAAGATGTTCCGAACAATGTTCTTCTACAAACTCATTCAACAAGTCGTTTCTGTGTATACCGGAAAAGCAATGAACGATATTGAAAGTATGGACTTGGTATGCACCTGTGGAGGTATTTCATTAGCAAGAGTGAAAAGTGCTATTAAAGAAAAGCAATTGACAAGTGTCGATGAAATTGTCTTAGTCACTCGCGCCGGGACTTTTTGTGGGTCATGTCTCCAAGCTGGAGGAAAACATCCCAAAAAGTATTATTTGGATGACGTCTTACAAGAAATACAAGCAGAAATAGCTCTAGAAAAGAAAGTGAAAAATCACGAAAAAGTCACTTTATATCAAATAAGTAAAACTATTGAGACGTTCTTCCAAGAACATGTGATGAAGAATTTAAAAGAAAAGATTGAAATAATCGATATCAAAAAAGGTACTAAAGGCGAAATGGTTGTTGTTATTACTATTGAACAGAGTTTAACTATTCAAGATACTATAAAAATAAAAGAGGACATTCAGAAAATGATTAGAAAGGAAATAAGTACCACTATCGATGTGATGGTTGAAACTATGTAATCAATCAAACTAATTTAATTATTAGTTTTATATAAGTTTAGTTCAAGTTATTAACTAAATCTTTTTAGTAATTAATTATAAATTGTTTTTTAATTATTTAATAAAAAACAAAACATGGATAGTAAATTTACTATTTTTGAATAGCATCTACATATTGAGTGACTTCTTCGAGTAAACGATTTGCATTTTCTACGTCATCTGTTTGCAATGCTTTCAATTTTTTATTGAATTCGTTTCTCTGTTGTATTTTAAGTTTCTGAGTTTTAACTCTGATATTAAGTTTTAAGTCGTTGGTTGTTTGTATGTTGTTAAACTTCAAAGTGATCTCATCCCACTCTTTAAGCTTTTCATTTGCTATTTTCTGAGTATCACAGACGTTCATTTGTTCTTTACCAAATTGCATTTTAACACCATTATTATCGATAATTGCTTCCTCGACACAAGAGTTCTCTTCATCACTTAATTGTTTGTACTCTTCGCTATTGAATTGACTCAGTCCAAGCAATTTTTGGACATGAAGACATGCGCCTACATATCCTCTTTTCCCATCAAACAGTTTCTCCTTTTTCAAGTAAATTTCCAACTTTGTATCATACGCATCTCCTTTGTACATCAGTGGCATTCCGTCGCATTTTATAGCCTTTGCAGGGAAGTCCTCTCCATTAATTTGAAATGTTCCTTTTTCAACAAAACAGTTAAAGTTTAAAAGTTTGATATTGTGGAAGTCCAAATTATTTGAGTCGTGGACTTCTCCGTACCTTTCCACTGTCTCTTGTGTGATAAAGAATCTTTTAGCTAAGACACAAGCGCCTTCTGCGATTGCCTTTTCTCTATCCATCATATTATTCAAATCATACCCTTTACTCTTATAGAAGTCTAAGACGTGAACCAATCGAGTCAATGATCCTATAAAGCAGATAGTCTTCGCCATCATATGTTCCTTTCCCATTCGACTTTGTGCTTCACTTTCGACTTCTTCAAAGATGTTATAACTGTTCTCAAGAGTGTCTTTAAGAAGTGCACTGAACTCTTCATTAGTAACTGTGATATCACACTCACTGTCTAATGAAAGTGCTAATGTTGTTGTAAACATCGAAGAACTGTTTGTAAAGGTCTTTTTAAGTGAAGGAAGAATCACCTCAATTTTGTGTATAATGTCTTCTTGACTTGTTTCTAAGGCTTCTTGAATTAACTCGTCTGTTTGGCTCTGAACTTGTATTTTGGTCATTATACAGGCTTTCAATTTATCGTCAAGATCTAACCCTCCAGATGTTATAGAACGCTTAGAAACTATAGTACCTGTACGGCCGATACAACTAAAATAATAGACAGCGGTGTGACTTGCTCCAATGTCAAGTATAAAAGTCGACTCTTTTGTGTTCTTCACTCTTTCGAAATTCGGGCAATACACTGTGAACATGTATGATGCTAACAAAGAAAAGTCTTCTGTCACAATTTCAACGCGTTTAAAGTGAAGCAACTTGAATGCGATATCTATTGCGTTTCGTTGGGATGTCGAGAAGGTATATGGCACACTGACAACTACGATGTTATACGTCTCAATCTTCTTCTTTGAAGACAGAAGAAAACTCTCAACCATCTTCCCAAAAAGTACTTCAGGCGACACAACAAGTCCATCCACCAACTCAAATTTCCCATCTACTACTTTCTTTGCACCAAATCTATTTACTGGAATTGTGTCGTCTGGAGCTCCCATTGAGTACTTGATGCCAAGGAAAAATTGTTTATAGTACAAGGCATATGAGTTTTCATAATTCAAACTTTGAAAGACTGGACCATCCTTCCATAACAGTCGTGTCTCAAAGCGCTTACTTATATTTGGCGTATGAATATATGGCGAGTAATTGATCCATTCTGATATTGTGGTAGTGTCATAGCCTATGTCGACACCTAAGATCCCGGTTGACTTGTCCATTGCCTAATTTATTTTCAGTTTATCTATTTGAAAAACTATAAACGAATAATGGCTTCATTTGTATATGGCATTTATTAAATTATGGTAAAATGTATTAGTTTTAATTAACTCAATTAATAATACTGATACTATTAATAATTAGTTTATTTGGTAATAATTAGTATTAAATAAAAAAATAATAAACATCATTCAATTATTTCTTTGAAAAATTAATTGTACTTTTTTTTCTTCATCAATGAATAATAAAAAGTATAAATAACAAACTAATAAATTACTAATTTAATAATTATTCAATTATAATTTACATATTAAAAATGAAACCATATTTAATACTATAATTACTTTTGAATTAAAAAATGGGTGTTTCAAAAAGACGACTAAAAAGAGCAGGTCCGAATGAACCCTCCAAAAATTTTTTGTGTCGCTGTTAATTCTCCAACTCAGTTATCTTTAGTAAAAGGCGAAAGATAAGTATGAAACAGTTAGTAGAAGCGACACTTATACTCACTATCATAATCATATATTACTATCACTTTCTTGATATTTTCATATTATGGGGTTTTATTTCTTCACAAAATAATCTTACTTAAAAATAGTGTCAAGCACCCCAAAATTTACTAAGATATTTTTGTTTTGTCCGTTCTTGAACAAAATAACACAAAAGTGATTTAAAAAAAGTTATTCACTCTTTTCAGTAATTGAAGTGTCACAAAACGATGTTGATGAAGTCTTGTTCTTTATTAAGTCGTATCTTCAGTACTCTGAGTTGTTCCTTGAGTTTCTCCGTCGTCTGCTTTATGTTTCTTTGGGTACTTAATAAGTATTTTAGTCATTTCGTCCAAATACGCGAATTTGACATCAGTTGGGAACTTCTGTAGCAGTCCGATGTTTCGCAGAACTCCGTCTCG